CTGGCAGGGGTCTTCATGAGGAATTTGAGGTGTGAATGGTCATTAACATATCTTTTGTTTCCAAGGGTGTTTTGTCCATCTGAGCACCTTGAAAAAATGAATTGCATGCATTTTTCATGATGAAAAAAGGTTCTGGATAGCATCGGGAACTGAAAGAGTTAAAAAAAGATTTAAACCGCTTATAAACGCGATTTGCCGCATTTACAAGCGTTTTGTGTTTGAAACGCTGATAAAATCGACCTCTGAACGCAAGTTTGTTGTGTTCAAAAGAATGACTGTAAACTCAACTGCCTGTAAATGAAGATGTGTACATGGACACATAGGAAAACATTAGGGTGAGTTCAGGGGCTGCTGAAAAAAAACACTGAACAGCTCTCCTAAACGTGAGTTTATCAGCTGCAGTGTACATGAGCCCTAATAGGAGACTTGTATACTCTGACTAGTACCCTACTGTCAAAATGTAAATTCATGAGCCCCTGTTGGAGTAGTGCCATAGACATAAACCTACCCTGCCTAATGTTAAAGCCAGCCCTGGATATATAGTACCCCGTGAACATGAGCAACAAATGAAGACCCATTTCATTGCATGATTATTGCATTTCTACAAAATTTGAGGACATCACGTATCACTACCATAACTGTGGCTGAAGTGGTTTACTGGGTCCACATTTAATAAGCAAATCAGAAACGACAGCCACATACAGTTATTCATTAGTCATTCTATTAAATTCTGCCATAGTAGGTTTTATTCAATCAAAAAAAAATGTAGCAGTACAACAAAAGACAAATCTCTCCATAAAAGAAGAATTCTGATGTGCAAAACTCTGGTTGGATCAAGTCTGCCTAAAAAAGATATTTCAGTTTTTAGATGTTTAAGAGCTAGATCACCAAATGGTTTCTTATATCTCTTGGTGACTTCAGTGGTGAGATCTGTGCACCTGAGTGTCCATAGCTGGATGGGGCCAGCCATTATAAGGAAATAACACGCTGCCTTTTAGGGTTCCAAGTTATTTTATATTATACAGAATGCAACAAGAGGAGAATCTACTTAAAATTCTAATATTATAGAGAAATATAGAAAGGGTGACCCAAAAGGTTATGGTAAAAATGGAAGGAGTGAACCAAAATGCCCTCCACAGACCCAACGCATAGCATGGTAGAGCCTTCTTATAACAGAAGGTAATCATGTCCTATTCCATCACATATACGAAAAATAAAAATAAGTTAGGGGAGTATCCCTTACTTCTGGACAGTGGATGGGGCCACACAAATCTTTATTTGCCCCACCGGCCACCTGTACATCTAAACCCCTGGTGTATTGTACTGACACAGCCCAATATTATAGAGCAGTGATTTACAAATTGCAGCCATTTGCTTTCTTTTATCCGGCCCTTAGAGCATTGTTCCTCCCTCTGAGACACAATTCTGCCTAAGGACATCAACAATGGGAAACCATTCCTCCCACTGGCACAAACAATGGGGCAATATTCCTCCCCCGAATTACAAACCTGGTGATGTTTAGTCTCACTGATGCCAGGAAAATGTCCACTCCTGCTGGCCACAGTCCAGCCCCCCTAAAGTCTGAAGGGCAATAACCTGGCCCTTTGTTTAGAAAGTTTGGAGACTCCTGTTATAGAGTCATTTGTTTCAAACTTACAAATGAAGAAAATATAGATGCCGTGCTCTATCAAGACCGATTACCTGTATATAGTATAAAAACTGTATTTGCATTACATCTCTAATAGCTGCATGATCTCTTATGTGTAACCATACATGATTGTAATGCCAATCAATACCCAAACATGTGTTAATAGTGAATAAATGAATTAGGAAAATATATATCAAAATTGGTGATATAAAAGAAAAAAAAAAAATTTAAAAATTCAAAAAAATAAATAAATAATAAAAGTCTGTGCAAAATTATTCAAATTTGTGACCTTATGTGACCCAATAATTTTGCACAGACTTTTATTATTTATTTATTTTACTTTTTTTTTTTTTTTATATCACCAATTTTGATATATATTTTTCTAATTCATTATTATCAACACATGTTTGGGTATTGATTGGCATTACAATCATGTATGGTTACACATAAGAGATCATGCAGCTATTAGAGATTTAATGCAAATACAGTTATTATACTATATACAGGTAATAGGTATTGATAGAGCGCGGCGTCTATATTTTCTTCATTTATATGCACTGATAACTCACATTTATGAGGGTGAGCAAGATAGCCTGCAATCTTATTGATAGAAGCCGTTTATTATACACCTTATTAGCTCACAAGTAAATTTTTTATATTCATTTGTTTCAAACTTCATACAGCTGTTTCAGGTTTTTTGGCCATCATCAGTGCAATGTATGATTTCTATGGAGTAGGGTTGAGGATCCAAAATATCCTTCGCTTAATCAGTGTGTAGAACAGTGGAGCCTTCTGCAAAAGAAATGGGCTTTTATAATCTTATCAATGTGAATGATTTATATGTGTATACTGTATGTATATAGAGGGCAAACAGGGTTTCTTATTTGATACATTGCTTTGTTTCCTACTCACTTGTTTTGCACAATGGCTACACTTGTGTATCCTCTCACTTGGCTACAGAGTGTCTCCCTGATAATAAAGTGTTAGATCCCTGAGATATAGGCTGCCATGAGGTTCAACCATCCACACACTGTTACTCCAACTGAAACATTTCAACAACTTGTTTTGTAACTCTGTAAGAGTGAAGCAATTTCTTGCTAAATCTTATATTACAAAGTAATTTAATCCTGGAAAAAATACTAAACTTTAAAAAGAGGTATTCCACCATGGTATCTAATAGGATTTAAAAAGATGATGAAAAATATACATAGTATTTATACACATAGGCACAACCACAACGACAGAAGGCGCATTTTTACCCAGTAAAGAGAACCTGTCCAACATTTTAGGCTAAGGTAAAAGTAACATTTTAAGCTAAATTCTGTAACCACAAAGTATCTACTAATACATTTGTTGGGGTGCCCATAAACACTATATTCCGGGACCAAACTAACAATGATCCATGTTCAGGAGGAAGTGCCAAACAGCTGTGAACACGCATTCTTGGGAAATAAAAGTGGCCCACTTACTGTGTGCCCTGTCACAAGCAGGTGCCAGGACCATCTGTCTGCAGCTTCTCATCACCCAAAACATGAACACTTACACAAGAGCTTTCCAGGAAAAGGAAGACATAATCCCAAAAAGGATGTTATGGCAAACAGATATGTGTGGGTGCGGAGATCAAGAAGAGATGAAGACATCTGGTGGAAGAAGTTAGAAAAGGGTACAGACATGTGAATGCAGAGATTAGAAAGGGGGTGCAGACACATGTGGGTACAGAATTCAGAAAAGGGTGCAGACACACATCACAAGTGGGTGCAGAATTCAGAAAGGGGTGCAGACACAAGCGGGTGCAAAAATCTGAAAGGGGCACAGGCAGATGTTGGTGCAAAGATCAGAAAGGGGTGTAGACGTGGGTGCAGAAACCAGAAAGGGGTGTAGACATGAGAGTGCAGAGACCAGAACAGGGTGTAGACGTGGGTGCAGAGACCATAAAGGGTTGCAGACACATGTGGGTGCAGAGACCAAAGGGTTGCAGACACATGTGGGTGCAGAGACCATAAAGGGGTGTAGACACATGTGGGTGCAGAGATCAAAAAAGGGTGTAGACACATGTGGGTGCAGAGATCAAAAAGGGTGTAGACACATGTGGTGGTGCAGAGATCAAAAAAGGTGTAGACACATGTGGGTGCAGAGATCAAAAAGGAATATAGACACATGTGGGTGCAGAGATCAAAAAGGGGTGTAGACACATGTGGGTGCAGAGATCAAAAAGGGGTGCAAACAGATGTGGGTGCAGAAACTGGAAAGGGGTCCAGACATGCATTGGTGCAGAGATGAAAAAGAAAGAAGAGATGTGCATGGGTGCAAATATGCGTAGATACATAGAACAGAAAGGAATGCAGACGAATGTGAGGACAGAGATCAGAAAGGAGTGGCTCATATATTTGAATGGAGAGGTGACCAAAGAGTAGATGGAGGTGTACGTAGCAGCGATCAAGAGTAGATGTAGGTGTACGTAGTGGAGATCAGGAGTAGATGTAGGTGTACGTAGTGGAGATCAGGAGTAGATGTAGGTGTACGTAGTGGAGATCAGGAGTAGATGTAGGTGTACGTAGCGGCGATCAAGAGTAGATGTAGGTGTACGTAGCGGAGATCAGGAGTAGATCTAGGTGTACGTAGCGGCGATCAGGAGTAGATGTAGGTGTACGTAGCGGAGATCAGGAGTAGATGTAGGTGTACGCAGCGGCGATCAGGAGTAGATCTAGGTGTACGCAGCGGCGATCAGGAGTAGATCTAGGTGTACGCAGCGGCGATCAGGAGTAGATCTAGGTGTACGCAGCGGCGATCAGGAGTAGATCTAGGTGTACGCAGCGGCGATCAGGAGTAGATGTACGCAGCGGCGATAGGAGTAGATAGGTGTACGCAGCGGCGATCAGGAGTAGATCTAGGTGTACGCTGCGGCGATCAGGAGTAGATCTAGGTGTACGTAGCGGCGATCAGGAGTAGATCTAGGTGTACGTAGCGGCGATCAGGAGTAGATCTAGGTGTACGTAGCGGCGATCAGGAGTAGATCTAGGTGTACGTAGCAGCGATCAGGAGTAGATCTAGGTGTACGTAGCGGCGATCAGGAGTAGATCTAGGTGTACGTAGCGGAGATCAGAGTAGATCTAGGTGTACGCAGCGGCGATCAGGAGTAGATCTAGGTGTACGCAGCGGCGATCAGGAGTAGATCTAGGTGTACGTAGCGGCGATCAGGAGTAGATCTAGGTGTACGTAGCAGTGATCAGGAGTAGATCTAGATGTATGTAGTATAGATGAGAGTGTTATAAAGTAATAGATCTAGGTGTATGTAGTATAGATGAGATTTGGGTGTATGAGGGCTGGATGCAGGTATAGAGGTAGGTAGTACCAGGCTACAGATGGAGTCCTGCAGACATCTGACGGTCAGGGCAGCGGAGGAGGAGATGACTCTTCTAGTGAAGTCCACACTCAGGTACAGGTTGAGGTGGTTGATGATGAATTGCTCCGGGTCACAGAACGAGCTGGGGTCGGACATGACTGACGTAGATGGCTGCCAGCTCTCACAGACACTGAGTGCACTCACACTGCTCCAATGCTTAGTATAGAGAACAATCCCTGCATGCACCGGGCGAGGCGGGAGTCCTTATGGGAGATGTAGTCCTCTGGTGACGGAGTGTGCGGGCGGACAATGTGTGAGGAGAAAGCTGGTGCACGCAGTTCTCAGAGAGTGATTACAATCTACAGGTTTCATATAAATGTTGTAACAATTATCGCTACAAATGGAACCGTCGTTTGGAATCATTAAACAGCAGTCCGTGTAATAATATACAGACCATGCTTACTATGAGCTAAAACCCCCAATAATCCTTCTATAAAACACACTGACCTGCTTAAAGCTGACTTCCTATTGACTAGCATGGAGGTGCACTGCCATGCTGTCTGTAGGGTGCCTATGTCCCTATGTCCAAGCACACCAGTGATAACCCTTTCTGCCCAGAGATATGATAAACCCCCTGTCAGGTTTTTCTCCACCCTTTCTATTTGTACTGGTGACCACTGTCCCTGAAACTGAATCGGAGGAGATCCAAAATGTTAGCGTTGTCCCCCAGAACATTATGTGAGGGAAATCTTGTAACAGGGACACCTGTTCCTAGGGCAACTGTCTAAAAAGGGGAATTCCCCTCATCTCGGAGATTTCCTTTGACTTCCGGTTGCATTTCAGAGACAGAAGTGAAGGCAAATTTCCTTACTGGCACACAGCAAAAAAAAAAAAAAAAAAGACCTGGAAGTTATTTTAACCCTTTCCTGCCCAACCCAAAACAAAAATGGTTATGCAAACTCTTTAGCAGAAAGCTTTCTAAGTGGGTGTTTATAAGCGTGTCCTCTACCCAGCTGGCCTTGGCCATGTCCCATGGTGGTATCCAGGGTATAGGAGGTAGAGTTGCCACCTCATCCCTTTAAAACTGAACGCGTTTTAATTACACCGGTTCTGTGGCTGATTAAGGTGGCAATTAACCTCTTCACGCCGGCGCCTCTAGGCACTTTAACTCCTTGGCACTGGCGCCTCCCAGCCCTTTAAGGGTTTCAGAAGTCGGGAGGCGGGCGGGATTTTAGAGTCATGTGACCGTCGTGATTCGCCATCACGGCGGTCACATGATCGGGAAAAGTCCCGATCAAAAGAGGAGATGGGGACCTTTCCATGAGACATGTGTGCTGGGAGCGCGAAGGGCGCGTGCTCTCAGCACATATGGTTTTCTTAATTGCACGCAAATGTGTGGCCACTCGGCATCAAGGCCCAGACATTTCCGTGCGGCCGGCACCAAGAGGTTAAAAGGGATTAGGATGCCAGAAAGGCAGGGTCTTAGGGTCATGTGACTGCTGTGATTCGCTGTCACGGCGGTCACATGATCTGAAAAAGGACCCTATTGCAAGGGGTTCCTCTGTCTCAAGTAGGTTGAGAAAGGCTGCCCTAAATGATCTGTGGATGGGGAGAGTCTGGTCAGCCATAGGATTCTTGCCTTTCACAGATCGTGTTCTATGTAATGTAATCAATGAAAGAACTTTACTTTGTAGATTATGCAGGCCATAGACGGGTCGAAAATCGGCCAATTTTTCGGCCGAAAATAAAATCGGCCGATTTTCGGATCGTTAGTGGGTGATTTGGTCGGTCGTTTTTCGGTATTTTGGCCGTTTTTGTTTTTCGGTAAAGTTGGAAATAAATCGGCCGATTTTGCCAATCGGCTGATTTTCGCGGCAATTAGTGGGCAAATCGGCCGATTTTTTACCGATAAAAAATCTGCGCATGAGCAGTGGCCTGCAAGAGGAAGACAAAAAGAAGAAAAAGAAGAAGAGGAAGAGGATGAAGAAGAGGATGAAGAAGAAGAGGAAGAAGAGGATGAAGAAGAAGAAGAGGATGAGGATGAAGAAGAAGAAGAAGAGGATGATGAGATGAAGAAGAGGATGATGAAGAAGATGAGGATGAAGAAGAAGAGGATGAGGATGATGATGATGAAGAAGAGGATGATGAAGAAGAAGAGGATGAGGAAGAAGAAGAGGATGAGGATGAAGAAGAGGAAGAAGAAGAAGAGGATGAGGATGATGATGAAGAAGAAGAAGAAGAGGATGAGGATGAAGAAGAAGAAGAAGAAGAGGAGGAGGATGATGATGAAGAAGAAGAGGATGAGGATGAAGAAGAAGAAGAAGAGGATGAGGATGAAGAAAAAGAAGATGAGGATGAAGAAGAAGAAGAAGAAGAAGAAGAAGATGAGGATGAGGATGAAGAAGAAGAAGAAGAAGAAGAGGATGAGGATGATGATGAAGAAGAGGATGAGGATGAGGAAGAAGAAGAAGAAGGAGGAGGAGGATGATGAAGAAGAAGAGGATGAGGATGAAGAAGAAGAAGAAGAAGAAGAAGAAGAGGATGAGTATGAAGAAGAGGATGGGGATGAAGAAGAGGGTGAGGATGAAGATGATGAAGAAGAAGAGGATGATGATGAAGAAGAAGAAGAAGAGGATGAGGATGAAGAAGAAGAAGAAGAAGAGGATGAGGAAGAAGAATAAGAATAAGAAGAAGAAGTAGGATGAAAATAAGAAGAATTCCAGTCCAGCAAAAAGTGTCTCTGCAGAGAGCTCCGCTATTTCTGACAGTTCTCTGACAGTTCTTTGACATTTACAGCGGTTGAAACATTGTATCTATTTGTTTCCGAATAAAAACATCTGTATCCTAAATGGAAACAAATAGATACAATGTTTCAACCTCTGTAAATGTGAAGGAACTGTCAGAGAACTGTCAGAAATAGCGGAGCTCTCTGCAGGGACACTTTTTGCCGGCTGTAGAAGGGATGAAAATCGACCGATTTTTTTTACCATTGATGGTAACGTCGGCCGCTTGAACGACCGAATTTTCGTTTTTTAAAAGAAAAATCTGCCGTTTTTCTCCCCATCTATGGCCTGCATTAGTCTTTGTAAATTAATTGAAGCACATTTGATTTCTAGGAGCTGAACTGACTTATAAAAAGTGGAGCTTTGGCTCAACACACATCAGTAGCCTACAAATCCCTACCTAAGGGTTTGAACACACTAGGTCAGCTGCTCTGCATTTCGTTGTCCAATATCATAAGTATGTCAGAATGTTTAATATGTGAAAGTAGCTCCCATACTGAAAAATTTGATATGCACTAAAGGAATACGATAGGACCAACTGCATCCCTTTTTCTATAGCATTCATCAGGTCCTCCTTGTGTGTTTGTGAACAGTGCTGGACGTATAAATCATTCTTCCCCATTAATGCAGCACTCTGGTTTGCATATGAACTGTTGGGTATGTACAGAATCCATCTGATTGCTGCATATGTATAAGTCCTATAATGAATGTGCAAGGAAGAATGTCACCAGCACACCGAGGATCACCAATATGGGTCCAAAAGTTTTAATGAACGATCACATAGTTACAGCAAAGCAACGTTTCGGAGTCTCGCAGGACCCCTTCATCGACGCAGGAATGTGTGCGTTTGGATTGTACACTTGCATTCTATAATGAATGCTGACACAGCACTATTTGTATAGGCACTCTGCGGCTCTCTGGGGCATCTCATCCACAGTGTGCTGGGAGTTTAACTTTCTGCAATGTTTGTATACATGGAAGATGCTTAATAAATCTTCTCTAATAAAAAAAGTGTTATCTGGGATTTGGATTTAATGTGTTAGTAATTTATGTAAAGTCCATCTAAATCTATTATACCATCTAACACTACCCTGTCCACAGGTTGACAATGATGCCATCCAAGGGTGCCTACGTTGCTCCTCCACAGATAGAGTGAGGAGGTGCATGTAGCCACCCTAAGACAAGAAACGGTCTACTGGCTGAATCTCCATGAGAGATAATGTAAAATTACCTAAAAATTAAATTAAATACATCCCCTTTTTGTACAGGCTTCCAGATCTCGCCAGCTTTGCAGAAGCCTCACTCTGAGTCTCTGTACACAGACTCCTATCTCCGCCTGTAGTCATCCTCTCCTCTTCCAGCAGTGGCAGCCCAAGATGTCCCAGGATCTTCAGCCTCCAGGTTCTTCAGCTCACAGCCCAGGCACAGCATGGGTCCTCAGCAGAAAGGAAGGTGGTGGTGTTGGGGAGAGGGGGGGTGGCAAGAGATGAGGCTAGGGATAGGGACAAGAACCTTTCACTAGATTCTGTGGAACTTAGTGGGATCACTGGTGGTCTTGAACTAACTTCCACCCTTTGTTTGAGGTCTTTAGCCATTTGCTTCTGTCTGAGCACTCCGATTCTTCAGAACATGGTCCTCATTGCTGATAGGACTTTGCTACCAAGTTCTCTGGCTAGTGATTGGGTAGGATCAGAGCACTAGTTAGCCTGGATGTTTATCAGGTCTGTAGGACACTTTGTTAGGTTGGAAAGGTCTATTGCACTATGCTAAGTAGTCTTTTGTGCTTTCTCTCTAACCTCTTTTTTTTCTTATAGAGCTTTACTGTTCAATAACTCTCATTGGAATGTCCACAAATGTGCCGCAGTTTGGTTAAGGTACTCGACAGGGTGGGTTATCACTAATGTAGGGTAGAAGGGACCCAAAACATCTAGCAGCCCCACCGGGGGTCATTGCCACAGTATATAAGAATCAAGGCACTTAAACCAGGAGGTGATTTTATTGGTCGCTATGGAAAACTGCATTTGCGCTGCACACTCTGTCAAGGTGCCTCTGGGCTTAAATGCAGACTGAAAATTATATGTGATTGATTATTTTACCTAGCACAGTGCTAGTGCCCTACTAAGTGCAAATGAACAGAGGAGCAGTGCCTATACTGAGAGAATGCTAAAAATTGAAAAGTAAAATGGGCATAAGGATGTAAGTCATCTGCCAGAATAGGCCTAGGCCAGGGGCCAAAAGATGTGGCCTGTCTCCAGAATGTGATCAAGCTGTGTTAATTCAAAGCAGCTTATCAACCAGTCTTACTTATAATAGATGTGTTCTTATGTTTTACTAATATGCGTAGGCATGTCAGCACAAAGCTAAGAGCTGCAG